ATCAGCAATCAAAGCTTTGAGCAAGAGCGAATCCATGTATCGCTTAGCCCATTATCTTGCAGTGATTGAGGCTGAGGCTCCTTGCATCGCATGGTACGAGAGAGTGCCATCCTTTTCAAACGTGGCCGACCCTCCCTCACGAGGTGATGGGCAAAGCATCCTCAGCTTGGTAGGCGCCAAGGTTGTAGAAGCTTTCATCCACGATGAGAGTTCTAACCAGAGATTTCTGCATCAGGGGTTCGCGTGATGTCAGGGGCATTCGGGACGCTGCCCCCTTGATCTTGAAAATCTCAGCTTGCCAAACCCGAGATGCTCGAACATCGGTTTGGCCGGGGCTGTGGGGGCTCCTGAATTAGAATTCACCCCAGATCACCGTGCGAATAAAAAGAGTGTGGCGCGACAACTCCTTGAATCCTCCTTTTATATATTGTGAGGATCTGATACATTATACTTTCGGTATGGAAATATATTTCAATAATATTTGAATGATTCTGTCTTATATGATTGATGTCCGTGATATTCGATATCACTCAACCTTTTTGTAAAACATCAGGTTTCTGAAAGAAGAACATTTTCTGCTTGCAGACTTTTCTTTCTTTTGGAAACCTGACAGGCAGTGAAGCTGCCGTGTTTTGCATCGTAGGTTTTTGGAAAACATTTCTTGCATGAGCCTCATTTCTTTGACATGGCAGATCAGATGTCTTTATCTTACCCGCGAGTCTGCTCAAGGAGAGAGGCAAGAAATTTTTCTTTTCCCACCCTCCCACCCAATGCGGACAGGGGGGGGCATTCGGGACGCTGCCCCCTTGATCTTGAAAATCTCAGCTTGCCAAACCCGAGATGCTCGAACATCGGTTTGGCCGGGGCTGTGGGGGCTCCTGAATTAGAATTCACCCCAGATCACCGTGCGAATAAAAAGAGTGTGGCGCGACAACTCCTTGAATCCTCCTTTTACATAATTGTGAGGATCTGATACATTATACTTTCGATATGGAAATATATTTCAATATTATTTGAAGGATTCTGTCTTATATGATTGATGTCCGTGATATTCGATATCACTCAACCTTTTTGTAAACCATCAGGTTTCTGAAAGAATGTGATACTTCTAGGGCTGTAAATGTGTGGTATGCATGACGCGGTTTCTGCTTGCGCAGAGCACAGTGGCTCGCTACGTTCGGATTTCCGAACGGGGGCTTCCCCGGGCTGGGGACGTCCTGCTGCTCGAGCCTTGGGTTAAGCCTGGGTTCATTAAACCCGGGTTCCAAACCTGGGTTAGAACCTGGGTTCAAACCTGGGTTCAAACCTGGGGTATAACCTGGGTTTAAACCTGGGTTCAACCCCGGGTTGAACCCAGGTTCGAACCCAGGTTAAACCCAGGTTAAAACCCAGGTTCAAACCCAGGTTAAACCCAGGTTTGAAACTTTCGCCGCACAGCCTTCAGGTATCTCAATCCTTTTGGGCACGACCCGTGCCTTTCTTGTTACTCTCATCACCCTTTCGCTCAAGCTTCTTGGGCGGTGCATCGTTGTCACCATTCCAAGGCCTTTTGGTCGGACGGGCAGGCAGAGGCGGAGTAAGCAAAGAAGACAAGAATTGAGTGATGTTTTGCGCCGGATGTAACATGTGGGCCGGGTGAGAAGTTCACCGGCCAGAATCACATGAAAATCTGACACCAGGGTTTTATTTCCCAACCTTGAGTTTCAGCATCGGCGACCGAACTTTCGTTGCCCAGATATTCGTGTCATCGGGCCTTAAAGTCCATCGTTGGAGCTCTGTGGATCTACACTTCCTGCATCTGTCACCGGATGATGCCAGCTTTGTCGTCTTTTCACACCTCTAATCCAGCAGCTGAACGACAGCTTGACCGTTGGTGGATGTGGAATGGACGTTGAGATCGATGGGGTGGCCTTCCGTTCTGTGGGCAGATCTCACGGAATTGTGTGGCTCAGGTTCATTGCGGCAGCGTAGAGGGTCCAGCTTGGTGTAGCTGCAGCATCTTGGCTAACAGAATCACTCAGACAGGTCAAAACCACTTTCCAGAATCACTCAGACAGGTCAAGACCACTTTCCTTGGAGGAAATGCGTTCTGCTCCACTTTTAGACTCTGATGAGCCTGTGCTGGAATTTGGCTCCGTTTGTCACACAGACGGAGCCAGACAAGTCCTTGAAGAGCCCTCTGCTTGATGGAAGTTTAGAGGACGGTGATTTGCGTTTGTCTCAAGCCTTTTGTAAGCCCTGCCCCACCTCGTGTACAGGTAGAGGTGGCAGGCGAAATGCGGGATGTGGTCACGCTCGACTGAAAAAGACTTTGGGTTTGGGAAAGCAGGCTTGAGTGAGGTTGGAAAGCAAAAACGGAAAAGAGCGTTTTTTGTTCGCTGGCGGCGCGCGCTCCGCGCGCGCCGCTAATTTATTTTTTGCTTAATGATTAGTTACCGCGCGAATCGGCTTTTTTGCAACCCTAAATATCTTTTCAGACCGCGCTTGGTCCATCTTGATTTCCACCCCGGTCTGTCTTTTTTCCGACCCATTTTTTTTCAGCCCCGCGACGAGATCTCAAAAAAGAGAACGATTTTTTTCGACCTCCACTCTACGATATGAGCAGTTTTTTTTCTTTCGGCGCCGAAACAACTGGCATCTGACCTATGTTGTGTTGGTTGATATGTCATCTGTGCATGCTTCTAGAGATCCGAAAAAGGCCCCCCAAAAGCAAACAAGAAAACACATAAAATGCAAAGCACGAGATAAGCTTTGTTCTATGATGGCTTCTGAAACCCGGCACCCAGCCGTAAGACATCCATGTAAAACAGGATGGCAGCATACATCACAGCACCAATCTGGATGGTGAACGTTGCCATCTGCTTTTACTCCGACGTTCTTCTCGATGTTGTTTTGCCCTTCTAGTTCTTGCTGCTGTCTTCCTTCAGCAGCTTGCAAACGACGCAGAAGTTTCCGGGCAGATTCGCTAAGTGGCTCGTGTCATTGCAAGCTTTCTTTGTGTGGAAGCCAAGGATGTGCCGCCAAGATTCCACAACCAACGTGGCCGCACTTTTGGCAGTTCAATTTTGTTTTGCGATGGGCCGATTTACAGGGACCTAATCCCGAACTCCAAGCAACCCATCTCTTACGAAAACTATCTGTCGAAACAGTTGAACCTCCCGCTTTTGTGTTGTCTAACGCGACACAGGCCATACAATCAAATTCCTGTGACGCCGTGTTTAGAATTGAGATTTAAACTTGCAGGAAAGCTGTCGACCAGGTGCAGTCCTGAGTTTCTTGCCGTGGAGTCGGCGGCGAGGCTGCAGACATAGTCAACCGGGCACTCAGAGGAAGCACCCACCAGTTACAGGGCGACAAGGGGCCCATTGTTCGGCGCCGAACAAGCCGGGGGTGGCAAACCTGGAGGGTTCCAAATGGGCAGGATTCCACGCTTGCTGAGCTTCTGCCACCAAGCCGCCGTGTGGCCGTGAGGCCAGCCGCTTGCTGCATGAAAGATCTGTGGACAATGGATTGGGTGCTTCCACGTCCTCCAACTGGATGAAGTGCCGGCTCGTCAGAAGGCGAGTGAGCTCGGCAAACCGGAGGTTAAGCTCTGTGCTTGGGATGAATTATCAGAGAAGAAGCCGGAGAAGTAGCCCAAGATAAGAAAAGAATAGAATAAGAAAAGAGGGATGGCCTCCGCTCCAAAGTATCCAAGCTCGAGGGAGGGAAGGGCAGCAGTCCCAGGGAACGGGAGATGGCTCGGGCAGCGCGCCAGAAGGTCCTGAGCGACATTTGTTTTGTATTGTGTGTTTTATCAAGACTTGGATTATCATGTGGCAAACAGCACGTGTAACAATTCGGCACTTGTTTGATACACAATCATGACATGGAACCTTGACCTCCTTGAAACTTTTGTTTTCAAATCGATTATTAGACTTCTATTGTTTCATGATAGACCAAAGCTTGAATTATCATGCGGCAAGAGCATTTCAATCAGACATGTTTGTCAATGCTGTGTACCAATTCCAGCAACTACTCCACTGCTCCACGACTCCACGACTCCACCACTCCACCCCTCCACCACTCCACTATTCCAGTATACTCCAGTACTCCACTACTCCAGTATTCCAGTACTATTAAGTACGATTACTCCACTACTGCAGTACTCCACGAGCATTTCTTTTGCAATATATGGTGTTTCCCATGGTCACATTGCTGAGTTTTGGAGTTGTCGGTCCTCGTGTTGTGGACGTTAAAAGGTCACGACGCAAACACGTGTAGGTGTGGAGGTTGCAGAACGTTGATGAGCTGTGTGCATCTGCAGGTTGTTGGCAATGGCGGTGGCGCCAAAACTATTGTTTGCAGTTCCTTTTTGATCAAGTTGTCGGAACCGAGGTTGATAGTTTCTCATGCGTTTTTCGTCGCATGTTGTGTTGCTGATGTAGACGCGACTTTGTTCGGAATCCATTCTTTGTGCTCTCGAACACACCGCCGCGTCGATAACATTCTTCACGCGAACTTTCTTGCCAGGTTGTGAATGTGTGCATCAGGATGTCCACGATGGGTGTGGTCATCAAACGGTGTGCAAGTGCGTAACCATTGCAACCATGTAAATTGACATTTGCAGCTTCAAGTCGAATCTCAGGTACACGCTTGGGCACCGGCATGCAGTCATACTGGCGCAGTCAGTTGTGATAGGTCTCGTTTAGCATTGGGGTTCCCAAGGTCGTGCAGCAATGCCAGAGAAACAAACGCCACAGGTGAAGTGCTTTTCTAGGTTGAGTGTCATGGATCATGCTGATGGCCGTCGTGTTCCAAGGCTGCTTTCCAAGAACAGCTAGTCACTGGAGATCGTGGCGTTTTCTTTCGTTCATGACAACATGCACCGGATGCAAACCATAATTCGCTGAGGTCATTTGCGTGAGTGTGTCAGGCCTGGTCGCCTTTCGTATCATACAGCTATGCTGCACTCCTGTGAATGCAGCTCCGCTCGTCTACAGCTGATCGCAGGTTTCGCCATGCCGACTAAACGACCGGTGCCTTTGAGCGATGCGGCTCTTGGACATAAAGGCTTCACACAAGAGATGATGTACTGTCTTGCGCACGTGTCCCCTTGTCATAGGTGATGCCAGCAGCGAGCTCGCAATAGGCGAGACAAACGTTGGGATCCCAAGCATTGTGCTTTGGTTGGCAGCATGTATCCCCATCGTTGAAGTAGTGAGCCACATAGCTTCCATCATTCGTTGAGGCTGGTGTGCCGTTACCAGTAAAGCAGCTTGACTGCAGTGAGGCAAGGGACCCCCTTGAGCTGGCTGACTGTTGCGTGATAGCTCAGGAACACGTTCATTGATATGCCATCTGGCTTGACTCCGGTGAACTCTCCGAGCAAAGATGCCCACCCATCGAGTACAGCACCTGCCCAGGCAATTCTGTTTCATGTCAGCGGCGTTTTGAAGCAATGGCAAAGTGCAGCTGTGCAGGTTCATCTGCGGGAGGGATGGATTGACAGGCCGGTCAGCCGGTCGCGAGGTTGTAATTTGCACCATCGGCACAGCCAGCACAGCCAGGGCGATCGACCGGGGCGTCCTGGATGCCGTGCAAGAGACAGTAGCCGTAGCCTTTGGCATTCGCACGGACGGCAGTGGAGCGTGCAAGTTCAGCTTCTTGTCAATGTCAAGGACTCACCGGCCAACGTGCCCACAGATCCAGGTCGACTCCGGCTTGCATAGACTATTCGCTCCGAAAAGAGGGTGCAATGCTACAAGCCCCTATACTCCTTGGTCTACACGCTGGGTTCTTGACGGCTGTTGGCGAAGGTGTGCCTGGACTGGCCTCGACCAGTTCCGCCCAGCGGCCAGTGTGCCAAGCGCGTGCAGGGGGCGCTTGCATCCAGAGATGCCTAGGTCATCGTGAGACAACAGTTCGCTTATCTTTAGCGCGGAATGTTCGGTTGCAGAATTCAGGCCCGGGGGCCTCGTGGCCTGGGGCTCGGTTTGCAGGGTTGGGGTTCCGGGTGAGCTCTGGACTGGCGTAGGTGGTTGTAACAAGTTGTATCTCATTCAGTTCAGTGTACGGATGTATAAAGAACAGCCGCTGGAGTCAGAGATTTGTAAGCTTCGTCTCATGGCAGATCTGACTTGA